ATGGGTTTCTTCTCTATAAGTTTTCTTGACCTTTTATAAAAAATTTCTAAGTATGAAGTCTTTTATATCTCACCATACTCCCATAAGAGTTTTTATAAACAAGTTCCTTTATAGTTCCTCTTTATAGATTTTTTTCAAGTATGGTGCACGCCCTTATACACGAGCCTTTTAGTTTATTACCCAAGATTTTAACTTATGTTCTCATATGAAGAAAATTCAATGATCTTGTCATGGTAATTTAGTATTTTTAAAAATCTTTGTAAATTAATACGATAAAGTCTTGGGAGGCTATTGATGGATTTAAATAAAACAGACCTAAACCCCCAAAAGATAAACAAAAATTTCTCTAAAATAGACATAAAAAACACTCATTGGACTTAAGCTAAGGCTACCAAGCCCAAACCCATGCTAGGATAGGTGCACACTTAGCATGTAAGGTATTGGGCATGCATCTCAGCACCTTATATGTTAGGTGTGTACCCAACACTTGGCTGGGCATGTTGCCCAGCACACAAGGTGTTGGGTGAAAGCCTAGCAGAGGTGCTGGGCATGCACTTCAACACCCTCTTGGGCTAGAGTGCGCTCCCCGAGCCCAATATGCTTGGGTCTCGACAACACGTTTAGACATATTTTTCCATCTTTAATAGGCTTAAATATCTTGTCCGAGCCCAACACTCGCTAATAATTTTTTCTAGGACCCCACGCAGGTCCCCCAATATTCTTTACTGATCTTATACATATTATTTTCTAGTAGAATATAAATCAAAATATTACAAGGATGAAATTGCATTTCAGTCCCTGCACTTCATATAAAGACAAGATTTATGAGTTATAAATACACCATGAATCATTCAAACTCAAAATTCACAATCTCTATATTTTTAACACTTTTTACATATATATTTTTAAAGTTTATTTCTTTAAAATATCATTACATTTTTAATTTCTATAAATTTATTGACTTTACTATCAAAAAGTCTCCATGTCTATCAAAGAGGATCCTTTTCAAGTACCAACTATCAGCTATATTGGCTTAATAGACATCAATTACTATTACCATAACTACTAGCCACCTTGACATACCAGACATCACTTGCTACTATCAACCACCTAGGTTTTTTATATCAAGTTATCAGACACATTAATAAAAAAAAAAATTAGATTAATTGAATTAAAAAATTAATCAATTACCAAATATATCAATTTTATTCTTAAGCATTTTAAATTTTAGAAGAAACTTGTCAATAATTTTAAGTCAACAAACGAGGTTAAAAAGTTTATGGTGTGAAGCACTTTTAAATTTTAACCACCAAGAGATTGTTTTAGATGAATTTACGAATTAATTGAGTAGCTATATACTTGTCAAATCATTAAGTTTTCAAGACGCAAGCTCATAAAATCAAAGAAATTAGTTAATGGCTTTGACTACTAGATCTAACTACCCTTTTAAGGCAAACTATATTGAAATTGATCAAAGAAAAACAAGCAATACGGAGTTGGACATCACTTTTTATACGTGTTCAACTCAAGTTTATGTGATTAATTAAATTAGATGGAGTAATTATATTATAAAATCACTATTTTCGTTAAACAATAATGCTTTTATGGACACAAATAACATTCGTAATTAATATTCGAATCCTTGTTGAAGCTTCATGATGTGGTTTGGGACAATTTAAGAAGGGAGATGATGCAAAAATGTATCCTAATGGTAGCATGATTGAAGTATTAGGTTGGCCTGCCTTAATTGCCAATAATGACTCCTGGCGATATTAGACATTTATAAGCACTCTAAGTTTGTTTTCTTTAAAAAAATTATCTGATTGTGAGTACTGAATTAAGCTAGCCAATGATCAGCTGCAAGGCCATGAAAATTGGAGTCATGCATCTCACGAATTTGACCTTATTCTGCACATTTGATCAATTGAAACTCTCAGCTATATAATTCAAGAGAAAATCGAGAATAATATTGGTTCAAACTTCTTAACCACAAGAAATTGACCTCATTAGCAACTTCATTAGTTATTCAAACCATGAACTGGTCAAAATTTTAATTTCTTAAGCAACATGGACAGAAAGAAGAATTAAAAAAGCCCTCCTAAAACATCAAATTCTATTATAAACACAAAATTCTACAGCATAGAAGACATTAACTAATTAATATTCATGTGATCTACAACCAGGTAGAGTGTTAAGCTCATGAAATACCGATGGAGGCGGCAGTAAACCTGTCGGATACAGTCTTTCTTACCAGTGAATTAATCTCAGGCGAAAACCCTCCAAAATCAATTTCAGGCACTTCCGGAATGGTTGTAAGAGCTCCGGATTTATCATAGATGACGTGGTATTCATCTTGCAATCGCTCTTGAACCCGAAACCTTTGTTTAGATTTGAACATGGATTTCAGGAATTTGTTGAGCGACCGCGAAATCTTTGAAGGTTTCTTAGGTGGTGGAGGAGGAGTTAGTACTTGACGATCAGGAAAATGAGGCATGGATAAGGTTCTTGAATTAATTGCTGAATCAAGTTGACGCTCGAAAGACTTAAGCTCAAAGGAGTCATATAGTGAGCTTCCACAATCCCATACAAGAGCCTTATTATTAGCTTGTAGGTTTTTTTGGTTTTGTTTCTGTTTCTGTTCTTGGCGTTTATTCTTTTCTTGAATCTTCTCCATATCGCAGGAATAGCAAAATACAAGCGAACAGAGTGAGACAGATCGAAGGGGATGGATATAGCTAGAAGAGAAGAAGATTTGAGAGAAAAGGAAATTAAGAGATGGGAAGGTTGCAACTGCACTTGCTTTCCTAATGGTAGGTTAATAAGCAAACGCGTTGGCTATGACCTAAAAAGAAAGCAAGAGTTACAATCTTCACGGCCTTCACACATGGACCATTGAATTTACCATCTTCAATGTCTGCATTTATTGAACGATGGTCGCCTTTAGACTATCTTGGAGTTTTATGTATATTTAATAGATTGGTATAATATATAAAGCAACATTTAGTCACATTTTTAAGGTGCTCTTGACGTGACCTCAATCCTGCCACTAAAAGTTAATCATACATTTACAATATATAATCGATCACATGATTATACATCCTTCTTCCAATATCTGCAGAACACAACACCATCTTGTCCTTTTCTCGAGTGTCTTGTTGGCTTAATTTGATTTACGTTAGAAGATTTGTAAGGTATAATTTGATTATATGTGAGGTAGCTAGGTGGCTTAATAATTTTAATTTGCTGGTTGAGCTACGTGTGCACAAGAACTCCTGTGAATAAGGGGCATTGTGAGGGAGACTTGTAACCAAATCTTCAAAGATCTAACTTGGTTTATTATGTCTTAATGACTCTCTAATTAAATTATGGCATTGATCATTATATTAAGCATGCATGCAGGAAGTGAACAGCTGTTTTCTTTGTTTTTCTTAATCAAGGGTGTGGATCCCCTGTTTGATCATGCAAGCAACTGCTCTGAACATGCAGATAAATACTGTGATGTCCATGTAATCTCTTTTTTTTCTTCATTTCATGCAATTCTGATGTGAATACCTTATTATTCTTTCTATTCTCTGGTCTATTATTGCTCTCTCCTTTTTTTAACTTGCGTTCCTTGTAGGGGTCCTCCCTGACACTAAGCCTTAAATGTATAATCTCCTTTTTTTCTTCATTTCATGCCATTCTGATGTGAATACCTTATTATTTTTTCTATTCTCTGATCTATTATTACTCTCTCTCCATTTTTTAACTTGCGTTCCTTAGAGGGGTCCTCCCTGACACTAAGCCTTAAATTAAATAAATTGTGTCCGAAGTCACTTGAGGAAAATAAAAACAGAAATAAAGATTGAAGCCTAGCTGGCACCGTGTGACAGTTTAAGTAAATTGTGTCCGAAGTCACTTGAGGAAAATAAAAACAGAAATAAAGATTGAAGCCTAGCTGGCACCGTGTGACAGTGAAAGTGGCTCATACGTGCATGGTTTAATCTCCCTTTCAAAATGGGAGGTTTTATTTCAGCACAAGCACAAGTATATGCAGCCTTAATTTGCCAGATCTAGTGAAAAGGATAAAATCAAGGATCATCATAGAATAGCAGAATAACGTTACTCCTTATAACACCTTCGAATATTTAAGCATTTGTGAAAAAACTTCACACAAAAATTGAATTTTTCATGGGCTATGATCCTAAATCAAGGTGTATGAACTTCGTGTGCGGGATTGGTTATATTTGAGAAAAAACAAGTTTTTCATTGAACAAAAAAGTTGAACGAAGAGCTAAAAAAATATATTGCATTTAATTGTTAGATTTGAGAACCTGTTTTGTTTACCTAGTGATCCAAAACATTATAGATTTTGGTCAGTTAGCTTATATTAAAACATTAAAACGTGAAGAGTTATATGATTGGTAAAAAGATTGGTGTCTATCAGTGGTTATAATTAATGCTCTATTATCGGTGTAGGGTTGATGATTATCAGTATTATGTTACCAGTAAATAATCATAAGTGAGAAAGGAGGCACTTGCTCTACGTATAATATGGTGCGTGTTCGCATTGCTATTCATACTAACTATTAAAAAGTATTGAAGGTTTACACATTCAATTAACAAAAACAATAAAGAAACTCAAATAGAAAATATCACAAAATCTGCATACTAAAAATATAATAATTCTCTACTACAAATAGGAAACGAATGGGCTTCATAATAATGATTTAATTAAACGAGGGATAGGTCTTTTAGTATATGTAAATGGTAATTTTGTTGGCTGATGCTTGATAAGATTGGTTTAATTAACCCCAAAGAGAAAACTCTCTCTTTCAAAAGCTTTTATCTCACATCACCGAGGCTGGCCGTGACGCCACCACCCAAAAAAGTCGTCTTTTATTACCAAACCCACTACAAACTTAACGAAATCCAAGAATCAATTACATGATGTGCGAACCCTTAAGAGGCTGAAACAATCAACTGTTTGGACGCGAACCCTACATGATGTGACCGTTACCTGCTCATGGAATAAATTTCATTTATTTTATAGAAACATAGGTATTGCTACCTGATTTTCCAAAACAACCATGCGATTAAGATTTTGTTTTTCTCCAATTTCTGAAGAAACAATGTATGTCCTTACATAAGCTAATGCTGTTCTATGTGAAAAATAATGGCCTGAGATCCTCACAGGAAACGACAAAAAACAAGACCTTTGAGGAGAACGGTCCTTGCCGCTTATTAATGCAAAGGTCAGATCAGCATTTCAATGACACCATGCTCCACGGCACTTTTATAATTCTAATTTGCTGTCGCATATCTTATCTCATCCTTTTTGCCTAAAATACTGTGCCTTTAATGCAGTGACAGTATACAATTTATCAAGTTATCCAACTATTGATTAGTATGTTTGGTGCTATAAGCTGAATGCCTTCACCTCAACTTTGTTTCATCACCGTGTAAATGATATTTCACTTCATATTGGTATGTAGCTGTGCACTTTCTGGATCTTGAAGCAGCTAATACCTGTTGCATTGGAGAGCACGAACACCGATTTCATTTACTTTCAAGTTAATCTACCACATTGCTGCTAAATAGCTTGAACTTTTTGGCATCAAGGACCAATTTCCTTGTTGAGGAGAATGCACCCATGAGTCCTGCACCTGTAAAGACAACCATTATGGAGAGATTGAGCCAGTACGTGAGGGATGATTTCGGAGGTTTGAAGGTCATGTTGTAGAGGAGCATTGGAAGTATGAAATCTAGAGGGATGAAACCAATAGCTCCTACGACACCATTGATGTCTCCAAAGAAAGGAAGCATGGCCGCCATAAATCCACAGAATATCATATAAAGAGTCCGAAGAGCTATCCTCGGAATTAGATTCCTTTTGGAGAACATTCCTTGCTGGACATCAGCAGATTTCTTTTCCATGATCTCATAAGCTACTTGAGAATAAACCTGTATTATGTTGGGGAAATGTTACCTCAATAGAAATGAAAGTCTGAAACCTAAAGGAAAAGAAATGGGAAATGGCTATTCAAATTTTCTATAGATTATTTGAAGAGTGAATCTGTGAACTTACGAGGCCAATAGCAAAGAGCTGAAGCAGAACAAAGACAACACCCATGCCAAGAACCCATGTGGGGGCCAAGGAAGGCTCCTCATCAGGCATTAGGCTTTTGAGAATGTTTGAGTTAGATTTGTTGCCGAACACCCAATATCCAGACATTGCAGTTGAGTAGAAAGTAACGAGAATTACAGTATAACACATCAAAAGGCCTTTTACCATCTTCCCAGTAGCAGGTGGAGCCAAAGTAGCCTGTATTCATGGCGTAGCAGAATTGTATCAATAAAAGCATGTATCAAGACCATCAAGTATTTTTCATTTTTCTTATAGAATGATCCCTTAACCAAATTATTATTCACACAGAATTAACTCACACCTCATTCAGGAAGAATGATCATGCAATTTAGTTGAATCAATCTAATTTTATAGTCTAGTTGGTTCGGAAGTGTTCAACATAGGATTTATGAAGTATGAGCTGAAATTTACTTGTATTTCAGGCAGTATTCCATTCCCAAAGATTGCAGCTATTATGGAGATGGAAGTGAATGCACTGAAGACCCTTGCTGACTCTGAAGATTCTAAGGAGTAGTCCCTCGGAGGGGCATTTTTTGACAGACCTACAAGGCAAATGCAAGATGTGAAAAACATTTTCTTATTTCAAATAAGATTTAACTCTTGCAGGGTCATTTTAGGTTGTCCCCAAGATAACAAACTAAATTTAATAAACTGAACGAACACATGTTGACAAGTTCAACTACTTCCTCTGGAAATTATTAGGACCAATAGTTAAGGATCACAAACCAATCTAATAGTCAGGTTCCGTATCAAAATAGGCCCATGTCTGACCTAGCACCATTTCAATCATACGTTGCACTTTCCAAGATGCACAAAACCTATTAACTACTCATTAGTAGCATTGTGGTGAGGGCACAGGATGTGAAAAGGATGGATGGCCTAGGATTGAATTCCTATCCTATTCCCGACGTGTAATCTTATTCATCTTTCATTTCAGGGGTTCTGGCTGGTTTTAAAAACTGGTTACGGTGGTTGCAGCTACTCCACGAGACGAAATCAAGTCATAAATCACAGCTAGAATGAACATTAAATATCTATTTCATTACGGGATTTGAGTTGAAAGACTGCAATCAGGAATTCTGCTTTGCTTAAAATACAGTGTTGAATGGCATTTCACACAGTTTCATTTGTCTTCATACCATCTAAATGCCATTGATCAGGCAACTGACATAAATGAAGATTGAAAGAAAGGTCAATATACCTGCATGAATACAGGCACCGACAACAACGAAACTGTAGCCCAAACTGAGAAATAGTGAAGCCAGATTGATATGTCTGAGGGAGTGGAACGTTGGAAACTGAGAGAGAACTATCATCACCACTGTCACCATTGCTATGAACTCGTACAGCTTCAGGGGTCCATCAGGAGAAAGACTCGAGTACATGATCTTCAGAGCTCAAATTGGAAATCGGAAAAGGAACAAGCAAGTTAAATTACCATTAAAAATCCAGGATTACATTTAGCTGTAAGAGCTACAAACAGGTGCAAGATGGTATTACGTCAAAAGTCCGCCAAAACCCTGCATTTTAAATCTGCAAGAAACTAATGATTCTCTGTATTCACAGTTTGCCCCAAATAAACGCATATTATTAATGAAGGTTCCTTCTAGTATTTCCCTAAATAATCAGTAATATTTGGATTTAGCTCAGAACACAACACGGAATCACTTGATGGAAGTGTCAATGACCTTCTTTTTTTTTTTATGGGTGATCAAAACATTTCCAAATGTCTACGAACGTTAATTCTGTGATGAATATAGAATGATCTAGTGTCAAAAATATCATGAAACTGAATTTGGCAGACACTGATGCCTTCAAATTCATGCTTTTTCCTACTGTCATCGTGTGAAATGAAAGTAATCAGATTCGGACAAAAACCATTACAAAAATTGGCTTGCAGAAAAGATTAAGTCTGTCTCTATTGCAAGAAAAAGATAAGGATTAGTCAAGTTTAACAAGCAAAATACCAAGACTATATTGGAAGGGAGCATTTTCTATCAGTTTCTGCATTATAGAAGCATTAAGAGAATGAACAAAACCTGAAGGCATTCCCCTGCAAGCAATATTGCTCCTATACCAACTCCCGTATTGATGGCTGTTTGAATAACTATGACAAAATAAAACATCCATCCGGACCCTGTAAGAACATAGAAGGCAAAACTTCAAACTTCTGTTTTATTAGTTCTTAGGTTAAGCTTTAAGCTTCAAATGATTGACAAAGAGTTATATTCATCAAAAGAAATAAAATCACAAGAGTTGCAATATGCTCGTTTTCCCTACTTGAAATACTGACATCAAAGAGAAGCGGCTAACCTAGACATGTAAACAAAAAGAGCACCAAAGAGGGTTTTTTCCCCCCATGTCATTTTCTAATAATTGCACAATCTAAAATTTGATTTACAACATGCTCTGTCATGAAGTCTTAAATCTCTATGTAGCCTTCTATGCTGAGCTTCAATGGAAAGAATATTGCTAATTAATCTTCTTCTGAAATCACTTTCCAAAGAGTCTCATGCTTTAAGGATGGATTCCATAAATCCAATGGTTAAAATTTCTTTAAGTGATTATGAGAAGAATATTTGGGTAAATGTAGTATTCCATTCATTAATAGTTCTCCAGTATCAAGCGCTGCTAAGAAACAGAGGGCTGCTCTCCTATATATGTCTTCGAGTAATTTCAAAAGAATAATAATCATCACTTAATTCATTCCAAGTTTCGACATAAAGTAAAACTAAATAAATTACCAATGAGATAAATTCTAACTTAGCGTGTCGTATGGACATGATCGATGACAAGCCCTGTGAAAAACTGGAGTTTGGCTTGACACCTTGCTTATGGATATTCTGACCAAAAAGATCAGGTAGTACCCATGGCCAGAAAAAATGAAAGAAAAAGAAAACAGATAGCATATTGACAAAGAAGTGGATGTTTCATTATCCTCCATTGAGTCTTTTTTTTCTTTTTCTTTTTTCAGGATACCTCCAATGATTTTAATCATGCTAGATATTGCTTACACTTATTTAGACATCTTAGTTTCTAGAGCATCGTCTAGATTCCTCAGTCATTCCATTTCACAGCTTTATTGCAGGCAGAAGCAACAAGGGTAGCAGCAAACACAAAAAGAAGGAGAATGAACGGAGAGAGAGTTAAAATACATAAAATTCTAAAATGTTATTTTATTTCTGAAATATTAATCGAATAAATTTTGCATCTCTAGAGGTTTACAATGTTGAGATACGAGAAGGATTAATTGATCAAAAATTCTAGGATTTGCGGTTTAAAATCCTCATTGAACTGGTATTTAGAACCCTTGTTCATATAATAGTTTAAACTTATCTTTATCCTATAACCTCCCAATAAAAAAATGTGTCATGTATTCAGATTTTTAAGTGTGTGTGTTGTACATCAATGAGAGCATGAGAGGTTAAATACTTGAGTGTTTAATGTTTTCAATAATCGGTAGAAGACCTTGGAAGAAAAGGAGAGCAAGACAGCAAGGAAATTATTTTCGAACATCTATACATGTTATTGAATGATTGGATCAGGGCTAACATTAAGAAAGAGAACTTTCTAATTACGAGGCCTCCTTTCTTTATATATACTGCTCAAGCAGTTTTTCCTCCCAGAACTAACCTCAGTAAAAGGACACCAAAGATCTCAGATAAGTTAATGTGGGAGTTTACTGAGGGGAAATGAAGATTGACCAACTCAGGATCAACAAGTTGAGAGGAATGCCAAAATTAGTTAATTATCTCTTTGTAAATAAAAATAGACTCTGACTTGCCTAAATAAATCCTAATTGGAGAAATAAACAGTGTAGTGAGCAATAAAGCCAACAAGAAGTCGTATTGCTGGAAATAAGAAGAAACTATAGTTAATAACCCCAAGAAGACGTATTGCTAGAAATAAGAAGAAACTATACTTAATAACCCCGAGAGCTCTAACCTAACTGGTTAGGTGCTTTTTAGAGGTTACAATTTGAGTCTCATAAATCTTAAAGTTACTAAAAATCTTAAAGTTACTAAAAATTTACATGTTCATTAATTTTATGGTCTATGAAATTAGCTGAGGTACACACAAAATAACTTAGACATCCATATTAATTTAAAAAAAAAAACCTATACTTAATAACCTTTATTTTGTGCTTTAAAAAAGGTTAAGAAAGTGTTTGCTAATGTTCTAGCCACTTGAAAGAAAAATCAAGATATGTTCTAAGGAGTAAAACTTGCTTTGGAAGATTTGGTTCTAATAATTTGCAAATTTTTAGATTAAGATCAATTATAAAGTTATAGGTTATCAAAGATTTATATATCATTCATAAAGAAAATAGGAAAAAAAAATACCTTTAAGTTGGGATTGTTTATGAACTTTAAAAGATTACTTGGTGCTTACATTTAAAAAGATATTGCTTATATGAGAATTCTCGTTGTTAAACTGAGTTTTTAAGAATATAGTTTAAGCAAGGGTTTGTTAAGATTAGAGAAAGATTTCTAAATCAAGAATTATAGAATTTACATTTGGAATCTTTATTGAATTAGTATTTAAAATCCTTGTTGGAATATAATAGTTTGACCTTATCTTTATGTTATAATCTTCTTTAAAATATAAATGTCATGTTTTCAGAGTTTTATGTTGTTTTCTTATAGATTTTATTTTTTAATTGAGAAAAAAAGTACAAAAACTAACCTAATTAAAGATTTGTATAGTGTTGAAAGCCTTGGTAAAGAAAGGAAATAAAGATGAGATCTCTGTAAATATTCAATTTTATAGGTCTTAACATTGATTAATAATTAATTTTATTATATTATCAATCAAGAATGAAAAATATAATTAATTTTAAATAGTTTCTTTTTATTTATTTTATTAAATAACAATAAGGGTTGTTATTCTTGATGCCTATTCTTCTTCTTTAGCATTTCTAACCCCATCACCTCCGCCAATATAAAGAATTTCAAAACTGTTGGCTATATTAAAACAGCTACATCATTGGCTCATCATTTCATTGAAAATTATAAAAAATAAAATATTTAATTCATAGTAATAGTGATGTAGACAACCTTGCTGAAACTAAAAGTTTTAGATATTTAAATGAGCATCTGCCAGAATTAAATAGGAATATGTCACAAACAGATTATATAGATAGTCTAATATATGTTTTTATTGAATATTAGAATAAATATAGGACCAAGACGAGGTTTGGTTGCGCTAAACCAGTATAGTGACTTAAAAAGGCTATAACATGAGATCTAATTGTTGGATCGGGTTCAAAGTTTTCTAAGTGATTCTATAAGCAGTTTCCATCATTTTATTATTTGTCATACCATTAAATCTCCTGAAATTGATCCCAAAAGTAGTTGTTTGGACCAAATTTGTTATTTTTCCTAGGTTTGTTTTGGATTTGTTGTTTTAGTTTGGATTTTATGTTTATTTCCTTTATGCTTTTGGATTTTTATTTTTTTCTAGTAGAGGTAGGTTTTTTTGGTATATTTAAACGTTTTGTAAACCTCCAAGGAGACATATATTACTAGCTTTATTTTTTAGAGAATAAAACTATGAATTCAGAGTTTGCATCTGCAATTCAAAGGGGTTTCAAAAGAGGACTAGTAACACATTGGTATTTTCTATTCTACGTGCATCATCAAGAACAAAGTCTACAATCTGATAAAAGATAATGGCACCTGCGAGAATGTGGTGTTCATGAAGATAATGAAAAAACTGCAACTAGCAATTGAACGTTATCCTAAGCACAATGAACTAACATGATTAAATAGACATTTCGATAATTGTTGATAAACACTATCTTATTTCCTTTTTTATAGTACAAAAGTATTTTGATAGTGTTTAAAATGATGTGGTGTTGATAGATGCATGCTACATTTTATTATACAGGTCATGGTAGTTTGATAGAAATGTGGTGTATGATGATAGAAAAAACATATATATCCTTAGCATTAAAGGAAACATATAGTTTTGGCATCTATAAAAAAGGTGGAGACGAAGACTAAAAATATAAAAAATTTGATGTCTTTATTATAGTTAATGGAGGAAAGAGGGAATGAATGAGTAATATATGTCTTTATACCTAATAATAGCACATTTAAAGGAGAGAAAGATGTTAATGACAATCCTAAAAAAGTACAAGGTGTGTTGACAGAATTTGCAAATTAGATGCTATAAAATTTATATTAGGATTACCTCTTGTGAGCTCTCATGAGTGAGAGAGAGAGAGAGAGAGGATATATATATATATATA